CTTGTCACTTTTGCCCCTACTCCCATTTCAAAGGATCAACGCATTGCTGGTTTTTCTTCGCCATTTCTTTAAGTCGCATCAGGGACAGGCAGCACAACACGATTGGCAAACGATCTGTCCGCCATCTTGGCAATCTGTGACAACAGATTCCCGTCAACTTGTGACCCTCGTAACCTTGTACCCAGACTCCCAACTGAGAGCCTTGACTTTGTTTGAGTTCTTGTGATCTCTTGAATAAAGTAGAAAAACCAATGACAGTGGAGCATAAATGACCAAAAATATTCTCTCAGAAATAACGCTCTTTATTTCTTATATCAAAATGTTTTCGTCCTCTAATTTGTACAGTTTTGTTCCCCTGTTCCCTAAAAAAAGGCTCATGTTCCCTTTTTCCCTTGTTCCCCCAAACCCCTGGGAAACCCTCGGGCTTCGGGGTTCCCAAACCGTCCGCCCGTCCTTTAAGTATAGTTCAAGCTAGACCCGGTAAAATGGCCGCCTGTAGCGTTCTTTCTAGACGATCTTGCCGAAAAATAGAGGGCTTTGAACGGTGTATAACAACATAACATTAATCGACAGCTATGGTTCCAAACGGGAACTTCACTTAGCGAATGTCCAGCTTCTTAGTACGTAGGAAGGAAACGAGAGGTATATATTTAAACAAGGTAGCACAAAGTTGGGAGGATGAGAGAATGTAAACGCGCTTGTGAAATATAGATGATATTGAGCGAATGGCTGGGTGGTATCCGACAATTAGAAGAATACGCGTGGGTGAGTCGCTTGAGTGAGAGTGTGTGATAGTATATATGAACACGTTGTATCTCCTGGTTGAGGAGACCGAGATTGGACGTCTCGTTGGAGGAACATATGCGTCGTATTCTCAGGGCAAGGCTGAATGGAAAAGCTCGTTTAGTCTGTAAGGGGTGACATGATGAACGTAAAAGGTACTGATGTTCGGCTGTAGGTTTAGTATAAAGAACAATTTCAATGATCGATACCATCATGGAGGGACACCTTTACGTAGAGAAAGGAGAAAGATTTGAATGAGCAGTTTGACCAGTATAAATTTAATAGTGGGATGAAGGGTATTTAGGTAAATGGAATAATACGTTTATAGTGAGTATGAAATTGAGGAGGTCGCAAAGATTCTTTGTGTAGGGTGGATGTACAGCGGTCAATTGAACTGAGTGACGGCAGACGCCAATAATATCTTCATCGTTCTCATCGTACTGTGTTTAAATCTATACCGCTCGTTTCCTTCCGACGACTACTAACAAGCCGGAAGTCTGCGATTCGAGGACTTCCTGTTTTGGAACCAGAGTAATACTAAACTGATGCTAAACTGATACTAAACCGAAATGGACAAAAGTTTTCTATGGTCTGTACTGTTATTGACAACAGGCTGATTTAGCAACAGAACAGAAACGTCAGTCGGGACGATAGCGCGCGCAAATGAAACAACCGGCTTGACCAATGCCAGAGCGGCAAATTGGGCACCGGAAGTCGTGTTTAGTCCTTTCCGTGCGCTTTCCCGTCATCAACTGACGTTTTTGTCCTGATGCTAAATCATCCTATAAGCTCTCGGCCAATCAGCGGGTGAGAAATTGTTCAGTCATTGTAAAAAAATAATTGTAACTAATTATTTTATCACGTTAGCCAAAGGCAGTTGTAATAAAACAGTCATTTCTTTAGGTTCCGCCGGTTCCGCCTGTTCCGCGGCTCCGCGGTCTGCAGTTCTGCAGATTAGTCTTACCATCTAAAGCACAGCGAAAATCTAAAGTCATTCTAACATTCATACAAAAATGAAAATTTTACCTGTGTAAATTAAAAGAAGAAATAAAGTCCATGATTAAGCTCCTTGACGAACAAACAAGGCCATTTTTTGCTTTCAAGTTTTTGGGCTGACGGAAAAAAGTCATTCCATGAGATGAACGGGAAGTGACTATTTGGACACGTGACTTGTGGTGAGCATTCTTTCATCGACCAATCAGATTACACGCGCGTGTTCTGACGGAAGTTTTTATTCACTTCCCGTTGCGCTTTCTTTCCATCTGGGCGTTGAGGAGGGAGGAAACTATTTTTAACGCACCCTAATGATACTAAATGTCTTTTTATTTTTCGTTTCTTTTCTGAAAAAAGATAAGGAAGTGCGTCAGTACACGACTCAGCTAGCTTGACATTTTTTCTGAAGGAGGCAAATAAGCCGTATGTCCGTATGTCTTCGATGAAGAATAGAAACTTCACGCGACTAACAATAGCTCAGTCTGTTTAAAAACTGTCTAAATTTACTCCGAATTAGCATGTGACTTTTTGCTGTTAATCGCTTCAAAACTGAAAAATCCTCGATGATTGTTGTTGATTTTGCCGTAAATAATTCAATGCACTGAGTTAAAACGAATTTTTACGTTTTACAAACTTCATGGCTCGAATCGATCGATGAAATATGAGCGCAACCGATGCGTTAATAGTTTGTTTACATTTTGTCGCGGGTTTTGGATAATATTATAAACCTTAAAATTTACGGGCAAATTCGACGAAAAAGCACTCTCACTTACATTTTTCATTTAAGATATTGATTTTAGCACAGTATAAGGCAAAATTAAGAGCGATACTTTCTTTAAGAACGCTATAACTACATATTTAATGGCCAAGCCTAAACAGCGATCTAATCCGTCTTTTGAAAACAACTACAATACGGCTTCTGATAATAAAATTTATAAACGCTGCAAACATTTTTATTCAATCTTATCGAGTGATTTTCGTGAAGATGACATTTTAAGTGAAGAATACTTTGGTTTCTGATTAGTTTTAACTGTTTTGCCATCGAAACAATTCGCACGAGACCACCGAATTCGCGAGGGTTTTATGTTAGTGCACGAGGAAGAAAACTTGCTTCTCTTTGCATATTAAACATTTTCTTCTTTGTAGCAATAAACCTACTTCTATTGTTTCTGCATTGTCTCTTGAAAGTGTGAGAATAGTTAACCGCTATGAAGTTCACAAGAGACCGAAAACGACGGTAGTCTTTGAAACCTCGTTTTTGCTCGCAAAGCCTAATGGGTACCCCACTTTTCACGGGCGACGTTTTTCAATGGGCACGTTTCCGTAACAGGAGGGCATTTTGCATGCGCATGCGTGAATCCGCTGAACGACAATAGCGTGGGCGCATCAAATCTGATGGCGGGAAATCGAAAACTCGCGCGTAAAATTACAGTCCTTTACGTTGGTGCTTTGAATACCGTACTTTCCTACAAAAACTATTCGCCATGACAAAAATCGGATGTTTTCTACGCGGGTTTTCACTCGTAGATTTTTCAGCAGTAGATTTTCTTGGCCTTTTAAAAACTTTCAAGACTCAACGCCAAAAAGACATGTTCCTGTATAAGTCTGATTTTCACTTGCAAAGCAATGTATTTCTATGGTTTGATTTCCAAATTCGTGGTTTTACTTATCAGGGAGGAAATGCATCGTAGCAATGTTCAGCTGCTTTAAGACAAAAAGCGAAACAAAAAATTACCACGCGAGGTTTATTTATTAGCGCAATGTCTCATGTTAAACTGATCGCGGAGACGCGCGTTTATATTCGCCACAAAAACATGAAATCTATGGGGTTTTTACAGTTTTTCGGAAGTTTTCGCGAAAAAATTTATACAAAAATATTCTATAGGAAATGAAGAATGGATTGAGTTTGAGACAGCAACAGTTACAAGTGATTATATAGTACATAATCATTTGAGCATTTCATAAGCTCAGTTGCAGACAAAACGAATGCACATACTCCGAAAAAACGAACAGCATTTTTATTTTTCTTTCACTCTAAAAGATACAGAGATTTTCCCAAGCTACTATTTTGAAGCGACTCTTGAGTAACAGCTCCTGCGTTCCACAATCGATTTCTTTTTATTAATTTAAATTTGATGACAGTAGTGATCCATTTAAAACAAAGAATGGCCATCACTCCATAAATCTGACGATGTTGTTCACCTTCAAAGCCTGTTTAAACATAAGACAGGAAGTTTGTTAAAGGGGTGCAAATAATGCTGTTTTCTCAAAAAATAAATACTTCTGCTAAAGGACCCAAATGAGCTGCATACGACAACAAACATGGCACAAATGGATGGATAAATTTGTCTGTTATTAATGTTTCTGTTGAGAGCTTTTTACTGTATCCAGATGAGCCCCTTACGTAAGTTGTACATCATGGAAGAATTATCAAGCAGAAACTGATGCATTAAACAAGAATGTGGATCAATACAGAGGAGAAGCTGGTCTCAGTCAACATCCTTCGTGAATGAAATGTCTCACAAATTAGCATATCAACAAATGTAGTATCCACAAAATGGTATCATTTAGGAATAAATGTGATTTTTCTGCAGCAGAAGCCAGGATTTATTTAAAAGGTGTATTTATAACGTTTCATTTCGTGCTATTTTGGGGTTGGGGAGTTAGGCTAGATTTTCTTTAAAACGCCAAAATGTTATATTTATTTGCATACTGAAATGTTTACAAACAGTGTATCATCAAAATAAGGTGGAAAAAATCAGAATTCAAACCGATTGCTACAATTTTTTTTCCTTTGTATACCTAAATGATAGAATATTCGTATTTTCAAAACAGTTCTTACTGGCGTTATTATTTTAATTTAAATTTATAGTTGAAGTGCGTGTATTTTATTTCTCAACGAAGACGTACCGGAGAAGAAGGCTAAAATTACTGCAGAAGGCGATTTTTCACAGTCTTCATCAAAGCGCCATTCATTCGCGGAAGTATTCTTAGTTTCATTAATCGTTAACTTAATCTGGGGAGAAAGGCAAGATTTCGAGATAAACAAGCCAGAGAAAGGATGAAAAACAGTTTCACGGCCGAATGGACACTTAATTAGCCACTGTATTCCTGAAACGATTAAGTTCGATTTTGGAGTTATACTATTGAGAAGAATTAAGTATCTATAGGATAATTGTTTAACGAAAAACTATCATACTGACCTTTTCCTCCTGCTCAAAAAA